GTGACCGACTGACCGACCGACCTACTAAAGGGGTGAGCGTATATATGGCGCTGTGTGACTCGTGTAACGTGCGCGGGCCGCATGGCCGACGCACGACCATCGTCCTCATCCGGCGTGTCGTCGATCAGACACGGTAGGATTGTCACGTCTGAAGTCGGTGACCCGATTGGCGGTGGCGCGCGGGCAGGAAGTAAGTTCTTAAACACTGCGTCACCCCGCTGTTTTACGACCGCCGAAGACGGCTGGCAGGGTTTGGAAAGGAAATCGTAAATTTCGCCGCCTGCGTGAGATGACCACCATTCATTCATTGAACGTGTCAGCCGCCTGTGGTCCGGCTGCACACGCGGCCAGGCAATAAAACAGTACGCGCGTACAACCACTGACCAGGGCGGACGATAATGCGAATCTAACAATTGGCATTTTTCGGACGTGCAAACAAATAAATTCAAAACTAGTTGTCATTGGTCGGGCATTAATCGCCGTATCATTGTGACCTCATCGTTGGTGTCACCGCAGAGGCACAGGAGTGTGTGCAGGTGTGGGCGCGTGACACTCGTAAACGAGCGCCGAGCGGCAAACTGGCCGAACAAAAAGCAGCTAATGCACCGTGTTATCGTCTGTTTATTTACATCACAACAGTACGGTCGACGGTTGTGCGGTCTGAGGCTAAGGAAGCTCGCGAAACCGGTCCAGTCCCCTGCGCTGCCGACCTCACACCGAGAGCCCCGCTACCCGGCCGCCCGGCCGCCGCAGAACCGAGCGGAAAGTTTACTGTCGATCGAGCTGACCGACCAATCGTCCGATCCGACTGAGCACAGCCGGCCGACCATTAGTCGCGAGTCTCGGTGTGAAGAGGCGGCGCTTTTAAAGACAGGCACCATTTAAAAGTCGAACGTCGGTATCACCGTGAATAAATTTCTTTCTGTAAGCTTTTTTGTCGCCACAGATGCATGTTTAACATGTCACCGCCCCGTGCATAGCGAAAGAAAAGATGAAGGCCGCCGCCTCCATACTTGGTCGCTTTAACGCCCT